GCAGGCCTCGAGTCCAGGAAGTAGCAGAAGTGGAGCTGAGCACCATGAGTGACCAGGAAGGAACCCCAGCAGCTGAAGTGATGACAGTGATGATACTATCAAGGTCCGAGCCATAGCTGTAATAACAGTAACGGCTGTGCTCCCATTGCTGATACCAGTGGGAGCGTAGCAGCAGGAAGAGAAGTGTAACACTGGTAGAGGGGCTAACTTACATTTATCCAGAGCTCACCAGGAACCAAGCACTCTCCTAAGTGCTTTAGAGTTATTATCACCTTTAATCCCCACAATAATCTTATTGTCGGTCACCATTTCCATTACACCCGTTTTACAGATGAGCCACAGATTAAATAATTTGCCAAAAGCCACATGGTGAGTAAGACGTAGGACCAGGATTTAAACTTGGCTCGTGCAACGTCCCAAGTCTCAGTGGTAGGAGCGAAAGTAACAGAGGCAGAAGCTGAGTGCTAACGATCGGAGCAGCAGCAGTGGTGGTAACAGTGTGGGCAGTGGTGGCAGAAGTAGTCATGGTAATAGCACCACTAGCAATGGTAGTTGCGAGAGTGATACCAGAGAGCAGTAACAGTAGTGATCGTGGTGGCAACAATAACAGTACTGGTAATGAGGTGACAGTATTAGTAGCAGCGGTAACAGTTATGATAACTGAGACCATTTTTGAACACCTACTATGTTCCAGGCATCGGAGTGAGGTGTTTCCACATCATTAATCCTCACCAAAAGCTGTGAGGAAGGGGTTCTGACACTTTACAGCCAGGGTGACTAAGGCTTGCAGTGGTTCAATGACTCCTCGGGGTCGCACAGCTGGAAAGAGGTAGAGCCAGGCCTTTCTACCCCCGAGGCCGGGGTTCTCTCTCCTTCCGGGGTCCTTGAGTCCACCCCCTTACTTGAGGCTGCCTACGGAAGCTCAGAGGCAGAGGTGTACGCCTTCACCTGGCACCCTTAGAAGGACAGAGTATTACCCCATAGCCCCTACGCCTTGTTCCCAAACCTACCCCTCTGCCCGCTCCAAACACACCACTATCTTTGCCATGACAGCCTGTAGAGGCTGAAGGTAAAGCTCTTATCCTAACTCACTACTTTCTTCCAAATCTTCTTGCTTATACCATGGGTTCCTATTCTCTCTCTGCCCGGCTTGCCCTTCTCCGGGCATGATGTCTAGAAATGGGACAGTAGTAGAAGAGTCACCTCCCTCCCTCTGGCACCACCTCTTTTAAAACACCCTGAGGCTACATGAGCTTCTCATCCTGGTGACGTCCTAAGCTGACATCCTCAACCCTTGGTCACTCCTGGGTCTGCCTCTCTCCGACCTGCCTGACCCCGGGCCCTTTCGGTGATTCTCGGAGGCCCCCTAGCTTGTCCCCAGTGGGAAGGAGAGGGTCTTCTCCCACCAGTTTTTGGTTGTGCTCTCTGAGCATCAGATTCAAGGGGCTCTACATTCAACCACTCACTGAAGGGGGTCCCAGGTCAAGTCAGTTTGTGAAACTCTGAGCAGAACAGGCTCCTTCCCCAGAGAAGTCAGGGCCTTTACGAACCTTTGCAACGGGCCTGGGGCTCTCGCGGTAAAGGGTACACTTCTCCGTGTTTCCCAAACCTGGTTCTTTAAATGACTGTTTATCTAAGTATGTGACACAAATGCATTCCCCTTGAAAAGAAAAGTCACAAATTACAGTGAAAGCTACATTGCTTCTGACCAAAGACCCCTCTCCAGGGGTCTCATCCCTCTCCCCAGAGGCACCCACTGTGGTCAGTTTGGTGGGGACCCTCTCAAACCTTTGCTGTGAACATACACTCACACGTACATAGCATGTGTCCGCAGGAAGTATTTAGGATGGGTGTGTATGCGTTTTATGTAAATGTATCATATTCTGAAGAACTAGCTTTGTTCACTCGACAATATATCTCCGAGGCTTACTAGTAGTTGTGTCAGGAATGAGGCTTGACCTCCCTGTTACAAGGGCTGCTTAGAGTGCGCCAGTGTGGGTGCCAGTTCCCCTTGAGATAGACACGCAGGTTCCTTCCCTGACATCATGGAGCCTTTACTCATAGAGCATGTTGGTGGGCCAGGGTTTCTTCAAACGTATCTTGGAAAACATGGATCTGGACCAACCCCCTCACTGTATGTCAAAGGGAAGAGACCAGCCAGTGACCCCCAGGGTGTCCAAGGGCAGAGCCTACAACTCCAGATCCTTGTGGTGGCTGTATCCCAGGTGCCATGTGGCCTCAGGCATGTCCTGTGCCCTCTCTGGGCCTCCTCCCATGACACACAGGGCTGGGCTAAGAGGCCTTGGGGTATCCTTTTTGACACAGGCCTTCTGTGGCTCCCCACACATGATTGGATTCACCCCTTTCTCCTATTTCTTCCCCACAGCGACCTGACCCCAACAACGGCAACCCCCCCGGGTCCACGGAGGGTAAGTATCTGGCGAACATGTGCAGTGGAGTCGTGCTCTGTAGAGGTTGAGGTTAGGTTCTCAGTCAGAGCTTGAGGCAGAAGTTCGTCAAAACCACCCTTGAAAATCCCCTAAATTGCCACCCAAGTACTTCGTACAGGCTATCTTGTTTCTATAGCACTGTTTAATAACATGAGCAAAGCGCGGTTAGCTTTAAACTGTCGAATCGCTCCCAGCATGGCAAGATGCTTACTTATGAAGACAGACACAGCAATGGGTCCAGGCCTGGGTGCCAGGTATTGGGATGGGAAGCCCCCGGGCTGTGGGGGTGCTCAGATAAAGCCTTCCTGCCCCACGTGTCTCTCGTCCCAGCAGGTTCTAAGGATAACATCGTGATTGCCCTGTATGACTACGAGGCCATTCACCATGGAGACCTCAGTTTCCAAAAGGGAGACCAGATGGCGGTCCTGGAGGAGTGAGTCCTCATCCCCTCCCCCAAGACATTCCTACCCCCAATAGGCAGTACATTCTCTTCTGTCCTTCAGTGAAGAGCCTTAGACTAGGGCGGTGATGGCGAACCTTTTGAGCTCGGCGTGTCAGCATTTTGAAAAACCCTAACTTAACTCTGGTGCCGTGTCACATATAGAAATTTTTTGATATTTGCAACCATAGTAAAACAAAGACTTATATTTTTGATATTTATTTTATATATTTAAATGCCATTTAACAAAGAAAAATCTACCAAAAAAATGAGTTCGCACCTCTGACCCTCGTGTCAGAGGTTCGCCATCACTGGACTAGGGTGTACGCGACTGATGAGAACCTGATCGTTATAGAGGAGGAAGGGTTGGCTGTTAGCCTGGGTGACAGCCACAATATAGGGGCTTGTGTGCCTACGAATGGCGCACACCCAGGCAAGGAGGAGCAGCTCAAAGACCTTCCCCAGGGAAGCCTTCCTTGGCCTCCTGCGATCGAGCTGCAAGCTTACCTGTGGACCAGACCCCATTGAGGTGACTTCGCATTCAGAAATCTTTGGATCTCTGAGTTTGCTCCCTTTAATCCCCTCCAGTCTTCACCGTCAGCGAGTGTAGTGTCCAGTATGTGTGGGGGGCCAAGAATGGCAGTGGTTATGCTTGGTCAGACTCCTGAGCCCACTCCCTCTGACTCTGGGCCCCAGCTGAACCCCTAGAGTCTGCCATGGGCACAGAGCCCCACCTTAGGCATGGCTAGGGAGACCAAGGCTGCGAGACCAGAGAAAACAGTGGAGCCACAGACCTAGGTCTGTAGGCTGTGCATGCAGGGACAAACCTCAGATGCACAGTGGGGACTGTTGTCAAGATCCCTACCCCTAATCATGGGTGTATGCAGGGGATACTCTAGGCCAAAGCTAAGGGGACTAGGGGAAGTTCTGCCCACCGAACCCTTTGCTCCCTCCTGTCTCTTAGGTCGGGGGAATGGTGGAAGGCTCGGTCTCTGGCCACCCGGAAAGAGGGCTACATCCCAAGCAACTACGTTGCCCGCGTTGACTCTCTGGAGACAGAGGAGTAAGTATGCTCTTTTCCTGCCCTCCAGCAGGAAGCATGAGCAAGGCCAGCCTGTTCCTGCCTCAGGGCCTTTGCACTCCCTACCTCCCCTGCCCGGCATACTCTTCCTACGCTTCTTTGCCTGGCTGGCTCCTTCTCATCCTTCGGGTCTCGGAGAGGCCTTCCCTAACCACCTGTCTAAAGCAGGTCCCCTTTGTGACTTTCTCTCTTAGTCCCTTTGCAACCCTTCTCACTAGCGTTTCTTCCCTGTGCAAGATTTGCGCGATCACTTCCTAGGGGTAGAATTGCCAGGGAGATAGTTCTTACTGAAGACCCTGTAACATTGCTTGACTCTTTTAGCACGGCATGAATCATTTTCAAAAATGGAATCAAAGAAGGTTGGGGGAGGGAGTGCAGAGTAGCACGGTGATTAAGAGCATGGGCTCTGGGGTTAGACTGCCTGGATTTGAAGCGTGGCTCCACCACTTCCCAGCTGTGTAATGCCAGGCAAGCTACTTGCTCTCTCTGTTCCTCAGTTTCCTTATCTATAAAATGGGGACAATAAGGGCAACCATTCCAGAGTTGTTGGGTGGGTGAGTGTTAGCTGTCTTTCTCCATCGTTGATGCAGAGGAAACAGAGGCCCAGAGAGGAAAAGCAACTTGCTCAAAGTCACACAGCAGTTCTATGGTGGGGCCAAAGCCTACTGACCTCTGGTCTGGGGCTTTTTCCATCACAGCACAGGAACCACCTCTCACCCTGCTGAGGGTGGAAATGGATTTGGCTGCTGCTGCTTGAACGTTCTCACCCAGTATCCCATATATTATGGGAGAATGAAGAAAAGATCCAAGGATATGGGCCCAAGTATAAAATTATTTGAAATCTCACATTTTTGCTTAGATATATTCCTAACTTCTGGCTCTACAAATACATTTTTTTTTGTTTTATTGCTTAAAGTATTACAAAGGATATTACATATGTGTCCTTTTTTTTATTCCCACCCTTGACAATCCCCTGGCCTCCTTGTATTACACAGAGAAGGATAAACCGTGAAACTGAGGAAGCTCAGACCTTCACTCACAGGGGCCTGTGAGACCCTGACAGCAATGTCGTGTGTTCTTGTGAAATTTGCAGAAGTAAGATTTTGACCACAGTTGGTTAAGACTGCTGTGTTTTCACACTCAGCCTCTCTGTCCATCACCTTACCGCTCTCACTGGGTGCTGTTGGAATGACCTCTGGGCATTCTATATTTGTAAGGCTGTGTTATTTTTCTTTTCTTTTTTAAAAATATATTTCTTTTATTGATTTCAAAGAGGAAGGGAGAGGGAGAGAGAGATAGAAACATCAATGATGAGAGAGGATCATTGATTGGCTGCCTCCTGCATGCCCACCCTGGGGATTAAGCCCGCAACCCGGTCATGTGCCCTTGGCTGGAATCGAACCCTTCAGTCCACAGGCCGACGCTCTAGCCACTGAGCCAAACCAGCCTGGGCTGTGTTATTTTTCTTAAAGAAAGCTCCCCAATGTGCATAAGTGTCAGTCAGTCTCAACAAACTGGATTCAACCCGGGTCAAATGTCCGTTTTAATATCAAGAGAATCATTGTTTTTCCCAAAAGAGTCTTTGAGGAAAATCAGTGCTGCAGGAAACCAGGCGTTGGGTGTCCTGGTGGCCCTTGTCCGTGGGACAGGACTGCCCACCCAGGTTCACACGCTGTCTCTTCCCCTTCCCACCAGGTGGTTCTTCAAGGGCATCAGCCGGAAGGATGCAGAGCGCCAACTTCTGGCCCCTGGCAACGTGCTGGGCTCCTTCATGATCCGCGACAGCGAGACCACCAAAGGTGACCCAGCAATCCCCACCTTATCTATCTATCTATCTATCTATCTATCTAATAATGATGATGATGATGACGACAGACAGCATTTACTGAGTGTTTACATCCTGACTACTTTACAAGCATTACTTCTTTCAATTATCAGGCAATGTGATGAGATAGAGAGGTCTCACGACCAATCCCATTTTACAGATGAGGAAACTGAGGCACAGAGAAGTGATGTACTCACTTGTCCAAGGTCTCACAGCTGGACATGGAGGAGCCTGGACAAGAACCTGGCAGCCTGATTCCACAGCTCACTCTTACCCTTGTGCTTCACTGCCCAGCTGCCAGAATGGTGCCAGGGGTGGCTTTAGAGGGGTGTCCGGAAGGGGTGCCACGGTAGTGGCCAGACTCTGAAGTCCCACTCCTGAGCGGTTTCTCTCTGACCAATGCAGGGAGCTACTCTTTGTCGGTACGAGACTACGACCCCCAGCATAGGGATGCAGTGAAACATTATAAGATCCGGACCCTGGACAATGGGGGCTTCTACATCTCCCCACGAAACACCTTCAGCACCCTGCAGGAGCTGGTGGCCCACTACATGAGTAAGTCCTGCCCAGGGCCACACCTAGTCAGGGTGGACCTGTCTCCCGGGACCCCGAGTCACGGTGCCCTGTGCCCTCTGAGGCCTGCTGAGCTCTTTCTGACTCTCCCCAGACAAATAGTTGCTTTGGATTCTCCTGACATTTTAGGCCTATTGAGGAGGGCAGAGCTGACATCTGATCATGCTTTGCTCTCTGGAAATGTCCCCGATCATGGCAACCCCCTGGCACAGTGGCCAATTGCAGCCGACCGGGCAGGGAAGCCTCTGAGGGGAAGCCTCTGGCTGGCCGAGAGCTGGCTGCCCTCGGCTGACCAGCAATTCTGATCCAGAAGGGAGTGACGGACTCTGCCAGAAGCTGACGGTGCCCTGCGTGTCCTCCAAGCCCCAGAAGCCGTGGGAGAAAGACGCCTGGGAGATCCCTCGGGAATCCCTCGAGCTGGAGAAAAAGCTTGGAGCCGGGCAGTTTGGGGAAGTCTGGATGGGTAAGGACCCAGGGCCAGAGGGTGGTGGGAGGGAGGGAGCAGGGAGGTCATCACTTCCAGGAACAGCCCGAGACAGAGTGGGAATGGCACCAACGGTAGAAGGGGAGATCTGAATAATAACCGTAAAGGAGCAGTCCTTCTGATAGCAAACCGAATTGTCCTGCCATGCAAACACCGATTTACCTCTGAGGCCATTTACCTGTTTGAGTTAAAAAGTTCCTCCTGGGAAGCAGGAGTCCTAGATGAGGAATCTGCTCCCTGACACAGAGCCAAGAGGCCTACCAGTTAGGGTGAGATTACCAAGGCCTCTTAGGATGATGGAAATTAAGAATGGGGAAATGCAGCTTGGAGATTTCCAGGTGAGTTCAATGTTGGTAACTGTGTGCCTAGAGCCATGCCAAGGCATTGTGGGGCACCAATAAGGTATGTCCCACTCCTGCTGCCCTGCCGCTAATAACTCGAGAACAGCAATGCCTGGCCCAGTACCTGGTGCAGCCGATTGTGTTTCCACCCACCATGTTTTATTTTATTTTATTTTTTAAATATATTGTATTGATTTTTTGCAGAGAGGAAGGGAGAGGGATAGAGAGCCAGAAACATCTCTGAGAGAGAAACATCGATTCAGCTGCCTCCTGCACACCCCTTACTGGGGATGTGCCCGCAACCAAGGTACATGCCCCTGACCGGAATTGAACCCGGGACCCTTCAGTCCTCAGGCCAACGCTTTATCCACTGAGCCAAACCAGCCAGGGCTCCACCCACCATGTTTTAAATGAGACTGAAGACAACTTACAGAGTCGCAAACAATTTAGTCCAAAAAAAATGTTTAAATACACATATTTCAACTATATTTATTGAGAGCCTGCTATATGCCAGGCACCTAATAAGAGGTTGTGGCAGAGAAAGTTTGGAGAAGGGAAGACAGATCTGAGTAATGAGTTAGAAAACAAAACTATCTATATATATATAAAGCTTAAGTGACCATTACAACAAAATGACCAGAATGATTGGTTGATCAGTCGCTATAATGCGCACTGACCATGAGGGGGCAGACGCTCACTGCAGGAGCTGGCCCCTGATGGTCAGTGCGATCCCACAGCCAATCTCCCAGCCCTCCCTCCCCCCAAAGACCCCAAACAGGGGGCTGGCCAGCCAACCTCCCAGGGCACCTCCTCCTGCCAGCCGGCCCCCCATAGGCCTCTATTGCTGGCCAGGCTGAGGGACCCCACCCATGCATGAATTAGATAAGGGTTTACTCTTACTAAAGGAAGACCTCAGACTTGGATTAAAGCTTCCTGGCAGCCAAGGCAAAAATGGAAACACAAGCAATTAAGAGATTTATAGGATGGAGTAGATATGGGGTGAGGGAACATCATGTGGGAAGTTCCTGCGGTGGGAGGGGTGGTTGGGTACCTGAGGTGCTGAGTGACATGCAGGCTGACTGTACATGAAAGTCAAGGGGAGTTTGGTGGACGATGAAGCTGGCAAGGTGGGCAAGGCCAGATCATGCAGGCCTTGTAGACCATGGTGAAACTGGTATTTATTTTGAGAGCAGTGTTAAGATTAAAGCTTTTTTAAAAATATATATATTTTTTATTGATTTTTTACAGAGAGGAAGGGAGAGGGATAGAGAGTTAGAAACATCCATGAGAGAGAAACATCCATCAGCTGCCTCCTGCACACCCCCTACTGGAGATGTGCCCGCAACCAAGGTACATGCCCTTGACCGGAATTGAACCTGGGACTCTTCAGTCCACAGGCTGACACTCTAGCCACTGAGCCAAACCAGTCAGGGCAAGATTAAAGCATTTTTAAGAAGAGATGGTATGTGTGAGGGTGAGAGACAAGGTAAAGGTGGTCTGTGTGTATGAGTGACATGATCTGAGTCAGCGGTTCTCAACCTGTGGGTCGCGACCCCTTTGGGGTTTGAACGACCCTTTCACAGGGGTTGCCTAAGAAATCGGAAAACACATATATAATTACATATTGTTTTTGTGATTAATCACTATGCTTTAATTATGTTCAATTTGTAACAATGAAATTGGGGGTCACCACAACATGAGGAACTGTATTAAAGGGTCGCGGCATTAGGAAGGTTGAGAACCTCTGATCTGAGTGATGTTTTGAGGTTATTTAATCCCTACAACAGCCCTTCAGAGGCGGTGCTTATCATTTCTACTTCGCAGATGAGGAAAGGACAGATGAGGGAGGATAAGTGACTTGCCCAAGGGCACACAGCTAGGAAGGCGTAGGCCAGCTTTCCAACCCACATCGGTCTGAGCCAAAGCCCATCCCTCTCTAAGGGCTGAGACGGGCACAGAAGACTTTGTGGAGGAGGCAGCTCTGCAGCTGGGCCTTCCTGGGCTGTGGGGAAAGAGCACGGGTTCTGACCATCTTCCCTGCTTTCTCGCCCACTCCAGCCACCTACAACAAGCACACCAAGGTGGCGGTGAAGACCATGAAGCCAGGGAGCATGTCTGTGGAGGCCTTCCTGGCAGAGGCCAACCTGATGAAAACTCTGCAGCATGACAAGCTGGTGAAGCTGCATGCAGTGGTCACGGAGGAGCCCATTTATATCATCACGGAGTTCATGGCCAAAGGTGCTGTGTCTGGGGGCTGGGGATGCGGGCTGTGGCTCATACAAGTTCATTGAAGATTTAGAGGTGACTTTGACATGGTTCTTGCCCTCGAGATGCCCCCCAGTCTGGCCAGGAGCTCTTCCCTCAGGTATAAGCAGCCATTGCCCAGTCCTCTTGGTTAATGTGGTGAAATCATGTTAAGGGGATGCCAGTGGGAAGGGCACACATGAAGCTACCGGGAGAGGGGAGTAGGGCAGAGCCCCATTGGTGATGGAAGAAGAGCTTATGGATTTACTGGGTGCCTTAAAGGCCAGGGGAAGTTCTCCCTGTCAGCCACGTTCCCTGCATGGGCCAACGCTCTGGGAAAAAGATTCAACAAAGCATTCGTTGCAGGCTGCCCCCACCCTGCCCACCACGATCCAGAATTTCTCAGGGACTTTTTTAAGCCACCATTTCACAAATAGTTTCAATCCCTGCCCATTTTTTAAAAATATTTTTATTGACTTCAGAGAGGAAGGGAGAGGCAGAGAGAGATAGAAACATAACTGATGGGAGAGAATCATTGATCAGCTGTCTGACAGGGAATTGAACTGTGACTTCCTGGTCTGGAAGTCGACGCTCTACCACTGAGCCACAGGCCGGTCAATACCTGCCCATGTTTTTATTAATAGAAACATATCATCCATCCTCATTTAGTGTGATTTAAAATCTCAAAACTTTTTTCATTTTCTAATTACACAGTTACACCAGCCTTATAAAACCATAGCCCAAGTCACCTGGGCTCAGAAAGCTGCCCCAGTCAAAGAACCAGTCTAGCAATCACAAAGTCACTTAAAAACACTCAGCTCCTTTTTCTCAAACACTAGGTGTGGTAAATAGATGTTTTTATTTAAATCCATTACTATGAACAATTTCACCCTAAGTAGTGAGGGCACTCATTGTCGTTCCCCCTCCCCCACAGGAAGCCTGCTGGACTTCCTGAAAAGTAATGAAGGCAGCAAGCAGCCATTGCCAAAACTCATCGACTTCTCAGCCCAGGTGAGAGGCTAGTGGGGAAGCTGGGGGGAGGGGAGGGTAATTATTTATTCAGCACATACTATTGACATACTATAATAGCAGCAACAATACTGGATAACATTTTGTTGTTGTTAATCCTCATCTGAGGATATTTTTCCCCATTAATTTTTAGAGAGAGAGGAAGGGAGGGAGAGAGAAACATCAGTGTGAGAGAGATGCATGGACTGGTTGCCTCTTGCATGTGCCCCAATGGGAGCTGGGGATTGAACCTGCAATCCAAGTATGTGCCCTTGACCGGGAATCGAACTCGACTTTGGTGTGCAGGCTGACCTCTAACCACTAGAAACACTGGCCTAAGCACATTTATTGAGCACTCTGTATAAAAGTATATTTTTTAAATGTGTCTTACATGTACTAACTGAGTAGAAGTGAGTCTGATGAAGTAAGTCCTCACATCAACTTTCTAGGATGGGATTTTTGTTATCTGTTCTTTTTTTAAAAAATATATTTTATTGGTTTTTTACAGAGAGGAAGGGAGAGGGATAGAAAGTCAGAAACATCGATCAGCCGCCTCCCGCACACTCCCCACTGGGGATGTGCCCACAACCAAGGTACATGCCCTTGACCGGAATCGAACCTGGGACCCTTGAGTCCGCAGGCTGATGCTCTATCCACTGAGCCAAACCGGTTAGGGCTATCTGTTCTTTTTTAAAAAAAAAACATGTTTTTATTGATTATAGAAAGAGAGGAAGGAAGAGGGAGAGAGAGAAAAACATCTATGTCAGAGAGAAACATCAATATGCTGCCTCCTGCATGAATCCCTGACTGGGGGTTGAGCCTGCAACCTGGGTATGTGCCCTGACCAGGAATTGAACTGGTGACCATCCGATGCTTGAGACAATGCTCAACCAACTGAGCCACACCAGCCAGGGCTGTTATCTATTCTTATGTAACAAACCTCCCAAAGCTTAGGAGCTCGAAACAAGAATTTTTTATTTCTCATTATTCTGTGGGTTGACTGGAGCTGGCTGTGTGGTTCTTCTGCTCCATATATTGAAACCGAGGTCACTCCCATGGCTGCATTCCGCTGGTCGCTTGCCAAAGGGTAGAGAATGTCCACAACCGAGTCTCATCCTCTGGTTTTTTTCCCCATGTGGCACCTCATCACTCAGTAGTCCAGCCAGAGTTTATGGCTTGGTGGCGAGGTCCCAATACAGAGGTATACCAAGGGGCCAAACCCTCATGTGCAAATGCTGATTCATTTAGCCTGCATTTGCTTACTAATGTCTCATCGGCTAAAGCAAGTAATAGGACTCAGCCCGGAGCCAGTGTGGAAGGGGAGTGGCCAAGGACCTGAGTCCAGAAGGCATGCATTGGGAGTCACCAATGTAACAGTGTAGCCAGAGGATGGTAATTGCCATCCAAGTTTACATAATCGAAACTTGAAGCATAGAGAAGATAAGTACAGATGAGGAAACCGAGCCCAGTGAGGTTAAGTAGCTCGCCTAAGTTACTGTGTTCTTTCGATGGATATGGCAGTGAACAAAATGGGACGAATTGCTGTCCTCACAGAGTGAACAGTCCAGATGGGAAGACAGATATTAAATAACTGAATCTCTTCAAGAGCCATGACCCAAGAGGCCTGGCTCAATGCCAAAAGAATGTAGTATCCAGCAAAATAATAATGTATGCAGTCACAGAAACACTTCTTAAAACCCCATCTTTCTCATCTTCCCTTCACACACTGCAGCTCCTCTCACCCTCAGTTGAGTGCTTTTTATTTCTATCCTCTTTCATTCTTTCCTATTTGTGGGAAAACAGATAGGAAAGGGGTGCTATGGGAGTACACAGCTGGAGCATGTAGCCTGGTCTAGGAGCAATCCAAGAAGACTTCCCAGAGGAATTGGTCTCTAGGTTGAGCCCTGAAGAATGAATAGAAGTGAGTCTGATGAAGAGGAGAAGAAAGGGTGGTCTAGACGAAGGAAATGGCCTGTGCCAAAGCTCAAAGGAAAAACACAAGAGCTGGGCCTGGTCAACTGGTGCCTGGGGCTGCAAAAGATGCAGGGAGTGTGGTTTGCAGCCTGGAGTGTATTAAGGGAGACCCGCACCAGGTCCTAGGCCTGGGCCTTCTGAGGATGCCTAAGGCAGAGCCCATTTGAGTAGGCAAATCCTAGGGGCTGGGGGGAGGTCAGAGGTATAAAAAAGGTCTTGCATTTCAGAGCCTGGAATGCCAGAGACATATGGAAATCAAGGCCTGGCGTTTTGACTTTAATGGGCCCTCTCCCTAGAGCAGGGGTTCTCAACCTGTGGGTCGTGACCACTTTGGGGGTCAAACGACCCTTTCACAGGGGTCGCCTAAGACCATCGGAAAACACGTATATAATTACATATTGTTTTTGTGATTAATCACTATGCTTTAATTATGTTCAATTTGTAACAATGAAAATACATCCTGCATATCAGATATTTTACATTACGATTCATAACAGTAGCAAAATTACAGTTATGAAGTCGCAATGAAAATAATTTTATGGTTGGGGGTCACCACATGAGGAACTGTATTAAAGGATCGCAGCATTAGGAAGGTTGAGAACCACTGCCCTAGAGAAACTGGAGTCCAGTGTGTGGCTAAATTATAGCCATCAAACTGGCAGAAACCTTGCTGGGCAGTCATCACCTGGGCAAGAGCCACTCTCCTCATTTCCCCGATGGGAAAACAAACCAAGGGAGGAAAAGAGGCGCCAGGCCCTATGCATCCAGGAGCAGAGGTGACTTCAGTCAGGCCCAGCGACAAGAAGGAGCCAACCTAGTCTTTGCCTCCAGTCCTAGAGTCAGACGGGCACAGTGCTGGTTACCCCAGACCTGTTGCCACCTGGCTGATGGCTTTTGGTCTGTCTCTCCATTTGTCAAATGAGGGAACTGGACCACACCTGTGGTTTTCAGGTTCAGAAGCTTTTTAATTTTATTTTCTAAGGCACAGTCCTGTTGGTCAATGAAATTGTATACAGTAGCTGACCAGACCGCTGCACCGATTTTTAGGTAATTTCCACACAAAGGTGGAATATTGGTACTAGATGAAAGGTAGATGAAAGGTAGACCTATTTTCTACAATGTCTGCAAGTTCCATCTTATTCTAACCACTTGTTTGCATGTAACTAATATTTTTCTATATCATGTTGGTTTTTTCTCTTTAATGCTCAGGAGCCCATGCTCAGGAGCCCAGGTATAGGGAGGGGACAGTTAGGTTCAGGGCCTCAGGTCTGGTAGACTTAAAAATAGGTCAAAACAGCTGTTCTGATTGTAAGGTGGGACCTCATATGTGGCCTTTTTTAAAAAATATATATTTTATTGATTTCAAAGAGAGGAAGGGAGAGAGAGAGAAAAAAAAACATCAATGATGAGAGAGAATCATTGATCAGCTGCCACCTGCATGCCCCCTACTGGGGATCGAGCACATAACCTGGGCATGTGCTCTGACCTGGAATACAACCTTCTGGTCAAGGGGTGTGGCCTTTTTTTAAAAAAATATATTTTATTGATTTTCCACAGAGAGAAAGGGAGAGGGATAGAGAGTTAGAAACATCGACGAGAGAGAAACATCGATTAGCTGCCTCCTGCACACCTCCCATGGGGATGTGCCCGAAACCAAGGCACTTGCCCTTGACCAGAATTGAACCCAGGACCCCCCAGTCCGCAGGCCGACGCTCCATCCACCTAGCCAAACCAGTCAGGGCGTGGCCTTTCTTTTGTCCCCCTTCCCCACACACACCCTTGTCCCACCCTGGCTACCTTGAGGTATCAGTAGGATCCAGTTTGAAGAGGGAGAATATCCTACAGGCGCTTCCCACTCTAGGGATTCTGTGATTCCTTGAAGAAACCCAAGTTCCAGTGCCTGACATCGTGGCAGCCCATTTGGTGGTTATGAAATCTCACCACCTAACCCACCCCCAATTCTTAGACCAGCCCTGAGCCCAGTGAACCTATCCCTTAATTCATTCAGTTAACAAAACCTTGAAAAGCAACACTTTGTGTATTGGACTTAGGAGTTGCATAGCATTTTGGGTTTGATCCCAGCTCTGCCTGCATAGCTTTGAGCAAGTTGTGTAACCTCTCTGAGTGCCATTTTCCTCAACAGGGAGCACTAATTGTCACCATTGTAGTAAATACTCAACATGCTAGAGACCATTCTTAGTTCTTGATGTAGGCTTACAGGATCAATCCTCACAGAAGCCCTCAGAGGCAGGTTCTATTGTTGTCCCCATTTTATAGAGATGAAATGTGAGGCATAGAAGGTTGAAGTAGCTTGATGGGGCTCAAAGTGAACTGGTCCAATTCCAGAGGCACGCAGGGTTTTGTGGGTTTTGTCCCACCTGCCCCACTGAGCCGGCTTGAAAATCAATAGCATGACTGTCTGCCAGTGGTAACTACCAGCATTAGTTCCTGCCCTGTGCCAAATAGACAGCCAAAAATTCAGGTAGAATAATGGCTAAGTGCATGGACCCTGAGCACGGCTGTTGGAGTTCCAGTCCTGTTACTTATTTCTCTGGCTTCCAGCATTCTCACCTGTGAAACACGGCTGATCACAATAGTGCTTCCCTAAAGCAGAGAGTAAGTACTATTTGTTAAGTATCATCTTATAATCTACTTATATAAAAGACTAATATGCTAAGTCCGTCCAGGTAATGACGTCACGTAGCAATGCCCGGCTTCCTCTCCCTAGTGACTAGCCTTCTTGCAGTTTCTTTAGCCCAGGAACACGGCTTGCTTTTTAGCCAGGTGCAAACATTTTACACCTTAACCAAATGTCTGTGAAGCACTTTCCTGTGCCTCATCTCATTTGATCCTCACAGAAGTCCTGGAGTAGGTAGATAGAAGATGTGGTGGAATCCTTTTTTTTCTTTTCATTAGCCAGAAAATGGAGATTTAGAAAGCTTAGAAACTTGACCCAATTGAAAAGAAGTAAGAAATGGTGGACCTTGAAAATGACCTCAGGTTTTCTCACTGCGCAGAATATAGTCAAATACTGTTGCAGTTAAATATTTTACCCTTTGTTTTCCCTGCGTGATCTATAATAATAATCTGCTTCATGTTGATATTTACTGCTGTGTTGCTGACAATTACCTGAAAGAGAAGTTGGGGTGCTTCACTGGGCTGGGAAAAGTTTAGCTAAGTCAGAAAGCCGGTCTAATTAAGCAAGTTTATTATATATATAAAAGGTTAAGTTGACTCACACATGCGTGATACATATAAAGCTCTCGCTGGCGCCAGTCCCATGTGTGTGTTTCGATCTGTCATTGTCGCTCATGAATTTGGTTGACACTTCTATTATAGAGAAAGGGAAAATAGTGATATTAAAATATTTCTTCTAATTAATTTCCTTTCAATGTGCACAAGTTTGTGCACCGGGCCACTAGTACATGAATAAGCTACGATGTCTGCAATTAAGGTAATAACTGTTGTTAACTGTGACTTTAAGGACTCCTTATACGTTTCCCACACTCCCCAGGTAAGACCTGTCTTACCCAACCCCCTGACAGGCTACCCCAAACAAAATTTAAAAGTCTGGAGTTTTTGTTGGAAAGTCTGCAGCCTCAGACCTCAGTTTCAATAGTCATGGGTGCCCCCTCTTGTCCACTTCCTGTAAGTGCACTGCCCACTTTTCCTCCAACCTTGAGCAGGCTGGTGCATTGGTTTGGTCTGTCTGGCCAGGCCCCCTATCCACTCCAAATAATCTCACCAGATTGCACCCAGCTTCAGTCCTCCAGGGCACTGGAGATCTGCAGTAACTAGAGGCAGCATGGTGCATTGGGATTGAACACCCACAGACTGGTTTGAGTCTGACATTCAGAATTTTCTTGGTGGTATGAGCTGGAAAGTGTCCCTCCTCTGTAAAACACAGATTGTGAGAGCACCTCACTCAAGGAGCTTGAAGGCCAGCTTGTAAATTGTAAGTGCTGTTTAGTGGGTGTCTGAGGGTTAATAATAAACCTCTTTATAAGGGTTAATTCACAAACCATTCTATGTAAAAGATGTCTCTAAGGAAAAATCCTACATTTTTCCATTGGAAACGTCCAGGCACCATTGTGAATAAGAATCCTCCACACAGTCTATTATTCACTCAGCAGCCATGATGACATTAAAATATACATCAGACAACATCACATTCCTCCTCGAAGCCTTCTACTATCTTCACATCACACTCAGAATACAGTCCAACCTCCTCTCCTAGCCTCCTACCAGGTCCTTCACAATCAGCCACGTCTCTCTCAACTCCCCACGGTCCCTGTGGCAACTTCTCAGCGACCTGTTCCACAAACACCCAAGCTCATTCCTACCTCCAGGCCTTTGCACATGATGTTATTTGTCACACTGTCATCACTGAGATCTTCACATAAATTTCACCTCCTCAAAGCAGCCTTCCATGACCACTCAATCCAAAAAGCCCTCTGGGTTTCCTCTCTGTTACCCTCTTTATCCTATCTTTATGGTACTTAATACCACCTACAGGGGTTTTGCCTGACGTAGCACCTATTCAAGTAGGTGTCTGGCACGCCCAAGACACTCAGTAGATATTTGTGAACAAATGATTTTTTTCTACTGAGGTTTGGGGATAAAGAAGGCATAAGAGATACAGCAGAGCCCAGCCGGCTCAGTGGTTGAGCCTCAACCTATAAACCTTGAGATCATAGTTCGATTTCCAGTCAGGGCACATGCCTGGGGTATGGGCTTGATCCCCCATGGGAGGCAAGAGGTGGCCAATGATTCTTTCTCAGCATTGATGTTTTCCTCTCTCCCTTCCTCTCTGAAATCAATAAAAATGTATTTTTAAATAAGAGAGATACAGAAGAATATGATGTGAGCCTCCCCAAAAAGAGGGTCGGGAAGGAAAGCTCTTCCTAGTATCCTGGTGTGGGTATACAGGGCCTGGAGAATAATGCCATTGCTTCTCCTCAAAGTACTCTCTGGAAGTTCCGGAACCCTGGAGAAGCCCCATACTAAGTCAGGCCCTGAGGATCCTCCCAGCCTGGACAGGTAGACAGGGAAATGCCAGTCTGAGCTTAGGACTCTCCCACACAAAAAGGAGCGGGAACATTTCTTTTCCTGTTGTTTTTTTCACACTTGGACACTCCTCTTCTGCCTTTGGGTGGGACTCATCTTGGGCTGGGCCAGATCTGAGGATGAGAGTATCTCTGTTTTGGGTGGAGATTTCGGAAGGCATGGCCTTCATCGAGCAGAGGAACTACATTCACCGAGACCTCCGAGCCGCCAACATCCTGGTCTCTGCGACCCTGGTGTGTAAGATTGCTGACTTCGGCCTGGCGAGGGTCATCGAGGACAACGAGTACACGGCCCGGGAAGGAGGGGGCTG